CAAATGGGAAAAAGCGCCGAAATGATGTTCGAATGTATAGTTGTTCAGTACTAGTTATTTAATACAGTATTAATTTTTAGTTCAGTTCTCTACTCAACTAAAATTGATGTTGAATATTAATAAATAGTAATTATTAGTCACGAATTTTTTAGTTTATCTTTTGATAGTTTGATAAAGATAGAATAAATATTATTAAAGTTCCTAAAATGTTTTTAAAATTTTAAAAAATTATTTAATGTCATTAGATGCAAATACATTTGAAAGCGCCGAAAATTTTTAGAGTAGTGACAGCTATAAGAATGAAATCCGAAGAAAGAGTTCAGAATAACTACTTGATCTGTGAGGAAGGAGGCAGGTTTTCAGAATGAAGGCGGCAGTCGAGTTTGCCATATAGTTTTAAAATCTTAAAAATTTGCTGATGCCACATTTTTATTTTAGACAAACGGTGAGATGAAGTGTCGAATGAAATGAAAACCTTACGTTAGTGTACAAGAAAATTTTTTATTTTAATTTTAAATAATAATACATGTGAGTCAAGTACAGTAACATATGTAGTAACTTTGATTTTAATTTATTTTATATTCGATTTTTGCAAATAAAAATTTTAAATGCTTTTCTAATTATTTTTCTTGTTAAGATAATTTTGTTTTTTTTTCTCATTTCAACAAAATAAAACTATGTCCTGTATTTCGACAATATTCAATTGTTGTTCATAACCTTTCTTTTAGTATTATTATTCTTTAGTATTAGTATGATGTGTAGTACACAGAATTATTTTCTAAATACATATCAACAACATTTTATGACGCCATCTTCCGCGCAACTAATATACACACACCTTGTCAAAACGGCCTGCTAGACTTGTCGCTTGACTCCACTATGCACACGGCCCAAGCCAGACGAGCCACCAACGTACAACACAAGCCATAGAAGGTTCACACATTGTCTCTGAGATGATGTTCTCCTCAGAACCAATCAGTTTTTCTCGATACAGATGGTGTTATCACAACCTTCCACGTAGCGTTTTCATTGTTTCTGTGACGAAATACAATAGTTTCACATTTGCAATATAGGCTAATTTCGTCAATCTTTAATCGGTTTTGTAAATTATATTATTTGGCTAATTGTTATAACAATTTACGTCAATTTCAATACTGATTTCTAGCAATACGGGTTTTTCTTGATTATCATTTTAGACCAAACAAATGATTTTACTTTAATACTTTCAGTTGGTTCTGAACGTTTATAATCAGTGTTTTTTGATATTTTCTGTATATTTTCGTTGCTCATTCTCCGTTCGTTCTCTTTCATTAGATCATAGATCATTAATTCCAAAATCTATGTCAGCCTCAAATTTCACTGCCATATTTTGCCAATTTTTTTATTTTTTACTCTTTACGCCCTGTAGACACTGAGAGCCTTTTTTTCAAATTCATCGCGAGTTCGTTCGGAATTGTGAGATCCGGGAGCCCAAAGGGGTCAGTAAAGATCTTAGTGATGTTCTTTCCCAACTCCGTCTCGTTGAGTTGGTTTCCGTGTGTATCACGATTCGCTGTAGTGATCCAGGTTCAATGGAAAGCACACATCCACACTCAAATTGATAATATTTACAGTTTATTTACAGATTCTATATGTAGAAGGTACAAGTTCGAAAACATAATATATATATACAGGGTAACAATGCGTGGTGACTCACGTACTATCTTGGTTTCCGGGAACTGGTAAACTTTGGAGAGGCCTCAGTCAGCTTGTGAAGTTGGCTCACCTGCACGGTCAGTCCAATCTGTGCCCTAACCCGTCCCTGAGATGTTTGCCAGAGGAGAACACACTCTCTACGCTCAGCGGGCTTCCCAAGTGCCTGAGACTACCGTGTACCAGTCTCTTGCCTTTCTCCCCTTCTCTCTCGTTCCCCCCGCAATTTAAGGGTTTTTTGGACGGGGACATCCGACCAATCACAAGAACCACTGGTCTAACGTCTGACTACAGGTGGGTCCAATTGACAAAGCCGGAGCTTTCTTTGTTTTCCCTCTGTTTACAAGTCAACCAACACCTTACAAGTGGTATATTACCCGACCGCACGTGGGTCCAATTGACGAGGTCGCGCCTCTTTTGTACCCACTCTGCTAAAAAGTCAACTTTACAGGGTTCACAACATATCCAGAAAAAATACCTACCGAAAAATCTTGGAATTTTTCGATTAACTCGATTAACAAGAAATCTTATTTTTTACATTTACATTATAGTGTAAACTCGATTATCTGAAGTTAACGGAACCAAAATCGTTCGGATATTCCAGAAATTCGTTTGTTTTTGTATTTTAGATACATGAAACACTGTGCATTTAAAGTTTTATGAACTGTAAATACTGTAATACAATTATTGTATTACAGTATTTATTCAAAGTCTATTTATTCAAAAGTAAATTAATTTATTCAAAATCTAACGTAATGTTACGTATACGATCTAGTTTCGTGGCGCTACAATCGACAGATGTTAGTAATTTCCATCAACATGAAGCATCTGGTATCTGTGTATTCTGTGGGATGTATTGATATAACGCTACACGTTCTAGTTATTTATTTATTTTTGAAAACAGTTTCAGATAATCTGGTGTTCCAGATAATCAAGTTTCTAATGTATTTATACAGTATGATTAGATGGTAGTTTTCATTTAAAAATACGTTTGGTTCTTGATATAGTAACCAGCAGATGCAATGAACAATTTGTTGATCCTTGTTATTCCTTATGCGTACAATAAACTCTTGATAAAGTGAATGATTTAATTCAGTTTTTTGAGATTTAACTACATTGAAAATTCATTGTATGAACTTTACACGTACAGTGAAACATCCTAGATACATACGTTTTATTTACAATTATTTAAGCAAGTTATATAGGCAGGTTTTTTACATAAATTTATTGCTAGTAATCTTGAAACAGCAATGAAAATATACAAATTTGAAATTATGAATTAGTTTGAATTTCTTAACATATTTTAGCAAAATTAATTTTTGCAGTTAATAAAATTTTTATATCATGCATAATTCATACAATTAAAACTTCAAATAGAACGGAATACAAATGATATTATTTCATTAATTAGTGGTAACCATTCCCAAATGTCAAATATCATCGGACTTCGCAAGATTCTAAATTTGAAGTAGTAGACTACTTCAAATTTAGAATCTTGTAGCATGTAACATGTAGACGAAAATATGTAACATGTAGACGAAAATATGTAGTTTTGGCTAAACGGTTTGCAGTAATCAAATATTTAAAAAAATTGGTGATTGTAAACTTTTACTATAATTTTAAGCATTGAAAATATTATTTCTTTGATTATAAATTTGAAAAATACTGTAATGTAATATATAAAAACGAATTAATTAGTCAGAAAAATTTATCAAAATAATTTTCCTCTCTTAAATAATGTAAATATTTTTATAGCTTTATTCGTATTTTATATATTTTATAATTTAGAAAATAAACTTTTGTCTATTTTATAGCATAAGCAGTTATATTAACAAATCGATTATTTTCTGATTAATTTAGTATAATAATGAGCATTAGGTTATTAGGCTAATTAGTTCTATTCTCAGATTGATCATTACACTTCAGGGAGCGATCATTAATCTCTCTTTCTTACATCTCAGATTGATCATTTGTTTAATTCAACTTTTTGATTTTCTCTTTCACTATTTTTTGTAAATACTTAATTTCTGAGTTGTTGTAATTTTATTTATAAAGAATAGAGACATTATTATTCAAGATAAGCCACAAATAAGTAAAATTAATTTGCTAATTTATTAGATTACTTAATTAATTAAATATAAAACACTGAATGAGTTTCTAATTTAATTTCATAAGAAAAGCTAATTTAATTAATTAAATAAACACTTCAATAAAAATAAATCGAGATATGTAAATTTTTAATACTATTTCATTAATTTAATATAAGAAAATTAACAAATAGTTTGCTTTATATGCCCACTTTAATGCTATTTTACTTAAAAGTGGAAATGTTTAAACTTTTCAATATTTACATTTTCTATTTTCAATTAATTTAAAACGTCAGGGGATTGAAGATTGGATTATTGAGAGACAAAAAGCTATCTTCCACTTTCTGGTATGATATAAATTAATCAATTAAAGTATATTTGTGACAAAAAATAATAATTATATAGTCAAGCCTCTAATAATGGCCACCTTTAACAAAGTTCACTTATAAACAGAGACCATTTTTTCAGAAACTTTTAAACAAAAATTCACACTAAATAACCTCCGAACAACGTCCATTTTTTTATGTTTCCATCAATGGCCGTTGTTCACAGGTTTGATTCTAATAAGAATGTAAATATTAATCTTATTAAAAAACAAAACAGAAATAAACTTTAATCTGTCTAAGACAAGTTTAACTTTATTATGAAATTGAATTCCTAACAAATTAAAATTTTCATTAAATGTTTCAAATAAATCAATTTAAGAACAGAAACTTCGGTAACTGAAATTTTTATATTCCAGTTATAATTATTTTTTTTTAAAGAAATATAAAAATAATTAAGTATTTTAATTTTTGAAAAATCTATTTTTATAATGAACTAACTATTAAGTTTTCAATCTTCCAGCCATGACAAGAAATTTTTTCGTGACAAAATTCTTCACGAAACGTAAATATTGATAGTTTTGACTATTAATGTTTCTTCTCAACAACTTGCCAATAAAATACATTTCAATATTTTTTTTTCTAGTTGCACACATCCAAAATGCTAATAATTATATATTATACGTAAACTTCTACAGCGATATAAAATACTTGTAAACTATTCGATTACGTATAAGATAAAACTATACAATTTTAATTTGAAGTGTCTTCCACATATTCCTTTTAAAATTAAAAAATTTTTTTAACTTTCTTTTAACATTTTTGAGTCTTCCGTTCAACCTAATAAATTCTACATGACGTATATTGCATTAATATTTAACTGCAGAAGATTGAAGCTTCAAAAATTAAATATATTGACATTTCTATAAAATAAATTATGCTCGTATGTATTCCACCTATCTCCCCTTTCTGGTCTATTAGTCTGTGGTCCTTCACTCTGCTCCTGTGTGTTTCGTATATTTTCTCTTCCTGGTCTATTAGTCTGTGGTATCTCGCTCTCTTCTCTTTCCAGCAATCGTCTGACTCGTGCTCTCTCCCTATTTTTCCTGCGTATCCTCTCTTGTTGTTCTGCTGTTTCCGACATTCTTCTTATTTGTTGTCTTTCTCTGTTGGTTTTAAGTCTTCTTTCTCTTTGTTCTTTTGTTTCATTTTTTCGTCTGTCCTTTTCTCTTTCTCTATTTATTTCTTTTTGTCTCTCTCTGCGTTCTGTTACTGAATTAATTTTTTTGTCAGTATTAATGAGATTTCACAATTGATTGTTAGTATTGATAAAGTTAGGAATAATTTTAAATCAAAAAAGATGTATAGAAATTATAAAACTTATAATAAAATTTTATATTTAACTACTAATACTAAAATAATAATAAAATTATAATTAATATTATAAATTTAGAAGCTAAGATTTATCAGTATATATACTGTAGACATACAGTAGTCGATAAAATATATTTATCTTTAATCAACAAAAGAAAAGCATCAGTTATGTATCTCGTTGGAAGCGTAACGTTAGTGTCGTGTTCGAACTTATTTTGAATAGTTGTTTCGCTGGCTGTTTTGAGTGTTTTTTTTATCAAATATTAAGATGAATAGTAATTGCAAAGGTATGTATTTTAATGTGTATACAGTATTTTATTAGTAATAGTCAATGATAAGATTTTATTTTAAATAAGTAGAACATTAAAACTGCATCTTTTTTTCTGTCTTTCTACATTTTAATTTCATTTTGTCCGGATTTTTGAAGGTTTCATAATTATGTCTAACAGATATTTGATTTCGGAAACGTGCGGATTTTGTTTATAACCATTTTTTTGTTTCACAGGGTGTTGGCTCGTAGTTAGCATGCGGGAACTTTTTGAAAAACTAAGAGAAAAAGATGAAATGATTAGCGGGTCATCCGAATTACAAAGTATTATCGCAGACTACATTAAAGAAAAATTTAATTTAACAAATCTTAGTCAAGTTATGGAAAATGAGTGACGTCGAATCATTTCTTCGTTTTTCATTGGTATAAGTCAAAGATGGAAGAGATGTAATCGAAATATCAAACATTGTCAACGAAAAATCATTTATGGCTCAATGATCAAATAATTATCGAAAATGTCGATTTGCCACAAATGGACGTCCCAAAAAGGATTTTTCGAAAACTGGACCGAGAGCAAAAATGAGAAAAGTTCAAGGAATCATTGATGATCGAAACTCGAATGAATTTACTTATGCTGCTGATGTAAAATTAAGATTGTATGGAAAAATAGACACAGCTAACATAGTAAAAAGTATTATGCAATCTCCAAAAGTATCGACGAAATTGAAAAAAGCATATAATTGACCATCAGTACAACACAATGTAAATTCTCCCGAGGAACCTCTGGCTTTAGTTACCTCCGTGAAGTTAACTAAATCGCAATATATAATGTTACGACAAAGTGCTATAGAAAAAGGTATTAATATTTATCCATCCTAACACAGCATTAAGAAAACAAAGAAAGTCTGTTATACATCATATGCTGATATTACTATTACAGAAGATAAAACTGATATCAAACTTCAAGCTTTAATGGACCTAACAACAGAACTTCTTTTAATTACTCTAACAGATGTATTAATTAAATAGTTTTTTCTAGAAAATAAATGTAATTTGAAGAATATTACCAACGTTTGCAAGTAGAGTTTGGATGGCAGTAGAGGACAGAGTCGATACAAAGAGCTTAGGAAAAAAATTTTGAACACGCTAATATAATTACGTCGTGTTTGGTACATATACAAACTTTTGAACACGACAAAAATGAGAAAAAGGTAATTTTACGGCAAAATCTTAGACCAAGTTCTACCAGATATTGCAGACCAATTCGTTTTGGCTTCGTAAAAGAAACCGACAAGAAAAATCCGTATGAATTTATTCGCATCAAAAATCAGATTTGCGAGATAAAAGTACCGAAACTATACATAAAAATTTTACTTTAAAGGTAAATCATGAGTTTATTGAAACCATGGTCGATACTAAGGTCTGTAATGCTTTAACATCAAATAAATTGACTCAAAATTGTTATATATGTAGTGCCTCATGCAGCCAAATAAACGATATAACTAACATTAAAATGAGACAATGTAATAAAGAAACTTTTTCTTTTGACCTATCGGCTCTTCATTGTCACATAAGATTCATGGAATGCTTCCTTCACATAGCGTATCAAATGGATATTAAAAAATGACAAGTGCGCAAGACAGACGAGAAAGAGTCAGTATCAGCAAGAAAGAAAATATTATTGATAGATTTAAAACTGAAACTGGTCTACTTCTGAACTGGTACTACTCGCAAGAAAGGCGGTGGAAACGATGACGACGGTAATTCGACAAGATTTTTTTCGAATGCCAGAGATAACAGGTGTTAACAAGAACATAATAGAACGATTTTCAGTTATATTATAAGCACTAGCATTCGGCTACGAAATCGATACAAGCAAATTCGAAATGTACACGAAGGAAACTGCGGAGTTATATGTGACGCTTTGTCATTAGTATCCAATGCCAGTCACTCTTCACAAAGTTTTAATACACGGATCAAAAATTATATCTTCGTTTCTCATTCCAATAGGACAATTGTCCGAAGAAGTGCAAGAGGCTAGACACGAGAAATTTAAAAAATTTCGTGAGAGTTATTCCCGGAGAACTTCTAGAACAAACACTAATATTAACTATAGATATTAACTATAGATATTTACTATAGATATTAACTATATTAACTATAGATATTTTACATAATCTTTTAATTTCTTCAGATCTTGTCATTGCAAACATTAGATCACTTGGTACGAAGAAAGAAAACGCCGTTAACCGCTAACGTTTTAATATTACTAAAAACACCAAGCGTGACCGTAGTACAAAATGACTACGAGTCAAACTCCAAATATGACTTCGATATTTAAGTTTTTAGTTGGTATGATATGTAAGTAAAAATTATTATAAAAATGTATTTTACTAACTTACATACTTAAGTCTTGCTAGAATCGTCTCACTGTGCACCGTCTCCAATATTCTTTCGCGCCTTCTTTCAACTGTCCTGTCTTTTTTCGTCGCCCTCTACCAGTCTCTCTCGACCCTTCTGCAACCTTTCGTTTATTTTCTTAATGGTTTGGAATTTGACTCATCTAACCCTACATAAATAACGCCTCTCAGATAAAAATAACTTTTTCTGTCAACAAATTACATTAGCATAGCAGCAAGAAATATTTTAAGATTGTGAATATGGTAAAGCAAATTATTTAAACGAAGGTGTGATAGAATTATGAGCTTTAAGTTGAACGTTGGTGGAATTTTCATTACGATTGTGTGTGTGTATGCTCCTCAGCCAGGTAGTGGAAAAGAAGAAAAGACAAACTTTTCGACAGATTTTGACTAAGTTATAATGAGTGTTCCTGTGAACGAGAGGTTAATCTGTGGGGGTGATTTAAATGGTCATGTTGGGAATAGGAAGAATGCATAAAGAAGAGTTCTTGGGAGGTGGAGTGTGGGAGAAAGGAATGGAGAAAGAGAAAGACTAGTCGATCATGCTGTGGCTTTTGATCTTGCGCTAGATAACACCTACTTTGAGAAGAAAGTGAATCAATTGGTTACATACATGAGTGGAGATAGATCCAGCCAGATTGATTTTCTTTTTGGCATCTTAGTGAAGTGAGAAACAATAAGGTGTTAAATGGAGAGTGTTGCTTCACAACAGCGGTCTCCAACATTTTTATCGCCACGGACCAGTCAACGTTTGATAATTTTACCGCGGCCGCTGAGGGGGGCGTTGATTGTTTATATTTTAGATTGTTTTGATTTAATAATTTTAATTCAATTGTATTTAAACATGCCTTCAAAATAAAATACAGTTACACCAAAAAATGAATATAAAGTGATTTAACATTTTAACTCACTACAACGCTAAATCAATGAGAACCCTGAGCTTGTTTCTTTGCAACGAGATGGTTCCATCTGGGGTAATAGCAGACAATGACACCTGAAGTGTGTTGCTTATGTCCAGTTTATTCCGTTGTTTTGTTTTGGTTGCTGTCACTGCAGAAAACACCGCTTCTCAGAGATAGGATGTCGGAAATAGGGATTTAAGTGCTGTGGTGGCAATCCCAGGGTATTCCGCCATGACTTAAATCCAGAACACTGGTAGAGTTGTTGTCGCGAACGTAGTTTTAAGGCCGCCGTCATTTGCGATCTCCAGCAGTTGATCTTCTTGCACAGACATGCTAGATTCGCCTGGTTTGTTGACAAATGGGTCACGAATCCATTCCTTACCAGTTCGTGGGTCTTTTGTGGTTGGGAAATAGCACTCGAACTCTTTTAAAAGCAAAGATATGTTGAAAATAAATGTTAAAAATGTTAAAATAAATTCAGTTCCCGGATAATTGGATGATGTACAGACATGGTGGCTGCTGAATAGTAATTGCATTTTGAAGGTTGGAGAAGAGATTTTGGGAAAAACTTCAGGGAAGAGGTCACCAGAAGGAAAGGAACTTTGGTGGTGGGATGCTAAGTTACAATCCGCAGTTAAACAAAAGAAAGAGACAAAGAAAGGGTGGGATTTGATGGGAAGGCCTAAAGATAAAGAAACTTATCATTTGGCAAATAAAATGACTAAAAAGGCTGTGGCTATTGCGAAAGCAAAGGCTTTAGAAGAGGCTTACAAAGTTTTCGAAAGAAAAGTGGGGAAAGGCAGTTGATGAGAATTGCCAAGGCAAGAGATAAGGCATTAAAAGATTTTACCTCTATTAAATTGATTAAAGATGATAAAGAAGTGATGTTAGTTAATTACGAAAGGGTCAAGGAAAGATGGAAAATATATTTTAGAAATTTATTGAATGAGGAAAACATTTAACTTTGCATTTGAAAATTTGTATTCTATGTTCGATTATTTATGTTCTATTTTTAAAAATTTATCATAATATTCGAAAGTTACGTTCTTTGCCTGAAGATGACATTGATGAAATATCAAAAGTGCTTACGTTATAATAATTCTTTAACGCCGATAGACAATAGTTATTTCTTGTTTTAGGCTGTGTACACACTAGGCGTTTTTCAACGCGCGTTTTAAAGAACCAAGAGTTCTATATAGGCGTACACACTCAAACGCGTGCTTTTGGCCAAGCGCGCGTTAAACGCGCGTTTATAGATTTTTGTTAAAACGCGCGTTTTGCGGGCGCTTTACGGGCGCTTTGAGATAT